ATACACAAAGATATTCTTAAAATTATTCATCAGTTTTCACCAAAGTAAAAAGAAAGCCAAACAACACTATACTACTCAGTTAGTTTCACAGACACTTGAAGAGATATTAAAAAGACCTGGAAAACACTCTCTCAAATTCTAGGGACCCACAAACTGAAAAAAAAACAAGATATTGTTCCCCTAACTAAACTAATTTAAACCCCCCACACATCCACTGACACAGCTAACCAAGAAAAAACGACTTCTTCTCAAACCATAGGATCTAAATCTCGCCAATAAAATCCCAAATACTAATGCCCATGCCGGGGACTACCCAGATGGGAATTTCCCAAATTCCTTTCTATCTTGCACCAACTGAGCCCTCGGAAGTCACCGAGATTATAAAGTCACTTAAAAAAAACTCAGGGAATCTGTCTAATGTCCCACCATTACTGTACAAGCGAGCGGCCCATATCCTTTCGCATGTATTTCATTACTTTTTAAACAAGTCTAGAAACTAGCACCTTCCCGAAACTACTCAAGATGGCAAAGGTTACACCAATACTTTAAAAGGGGGTGACCCTACAGATTTAAACAACTATAGGCCAATATCAAACTTACCATTGCTATCCAAAATCTTTTAGAAACTCGTGCACAGGAGGGCTATATTCATTTATAACAGCACAAAACATACTCAACCCCCGCCAATTTGGATTTAGGAAAAATAAAAGCACTAATGATGCAATCATAAAAATGTAGATTGCTTTACACAGCAGTTTGGGAAAAAAGGAATATCCACTAGGAATTTTTATTGACCTAAGAAAAGCTTTTGACACAGTAGACCACAACATCCTACTCCACAAACTTGACCATTACGGTATAAAGAGGCATTTCGCTTGCTTATTTCAAATCTTACCTTACTAATAGGTATCAGTCGTTTCCATTAAAGACACAGCATCAACAACACGGCCACTTGATACTGGAGTTCCACAGGGAAGTGTCCTTGGTCCCCTGCTCTTCCTCATATACATCAATGATCTTCCAAACGTATCCCAACACCTGAAACCCCTTCTTTTTGCTGACGACATGACTTATGTCATCTCTCACCCTAATCTTGCCACCCTCAACACCATTGTTAAGAGGGCTGATCAAAATATCGACTTGGATGACAGCCAAAAAACTTACGCTTAACATGACAAAACCTACTATATTATGTTTGGTAGCAGAGCAGGAGATGCACAAATTAACATTAAGATCGACAACACTTAATTACCAGACATAATGAGGGCAAATTCCTAGGCCTATACCTTGACAACAACCTGAATTTCAGCACCCATATCCAACACATAACCAAAAAAGTATCCAAACGTTGGGATCCTCTCCAAGATACGATACTAGTGCCGCAAAATGCCCTTCTCACACTATACCAATCACTTATTTATCCATACCTCACCTATGCTATTTGTGCTTGGGGATCAACTGCAGCAACACACCTAAAGCCAATATTTAACCCAACAAAAAGCTGCAGAAAGAATAATCACTAATTCCCCTCCCCGGCAACACACCCCCTACTCTTCATAGATCTAAACTTACTCCCTGTTCAGTACATCCCCACTTACTACTGTGCAATCTACATCTACAGGACCTTAAACTCCAATATCAACCTTGACCTTTAAAAAGCTTTCTTGATAGTTGTTTACAGAACCCCACAGGCATAACACCAGACACAAACATCTTTACGACATTCCCATGTCCGACTTTAAAACCTTTAAAAAAAATTCAATGTATGTCAAAGCCCTAAATCTGGAACACCCCACCTGAGAACTCTAGAATGCAGACACATTCATCACCTTCAAACTACCATTAGAAAACATCTTATCTCCCTGATAAACCCCATCAACTAAACTACACGAATACCACCTGGTGGTTCACACTTACACTCACTCACCCATTTGACCATAACAGAAATATTAATCTCAATCTTAAATAATGACTCCTATGATACTCCAATACTGAAACTATGTACTGTGCCAAAACAAAAGCATTCACATTGCTAAACTCACAAACTAGTATTTAGTCACTTAGCCATAATACCAACTTACCTCATAATTTGTAATATTTTAAAATAAAGAATTAAACTAAGTCTGCCCGAAATGCCTAGCCATGCTAGGCGTTCTAGTGGTACACTCTGTAATCATTATTTAACTACATGTAAACCACACAACAACCAAATTCTGTAAATTCAACATTGTAATCTTTATAGAGAATAAACTTTGAATTTGAATTTGAATAGGTATCAGTATGTCACCATTAAAGACACAGCATCATCAACATGGCCACTTGATACTGGAGTTCCGCAGGAAAGTGTCCTTGGACCCCTGCTCTTCCTCATTTACATCAATGATCTTCCAAACATATCCCAACACCTGAAACCCATTCTCTTTGCTGACGACACGACTTATGTCATCTCTCACCCTAATCTTGCCACCCTCAACACCATTGTCAACGAGGAGCTGCTCAAAATATCAACTTGGATGACAGCCAATAAACTTACACTTAACACTTACAAAACCTACTATATTATGTTTGGCAGCAGAGCAGGTGCTGCGCAACTTAACATTAAGATCGACAGCACTCTAATTGCCAGACATAATGAGGGCAAATTCCTAGGCCTATACCTCGACAACAACCTGAATTTCAGCACCCATATCCAACACATAATAAAAAAAGTATCCAAAACAGTTGGGATCCTTTCCAAGATACGATACTACATGCTGCAAAATGCCCTTCTCACACTATACCATTCACTCATTTATCCATACCTCACCTATGCTATTTGTGCTTGGGGATCAACTGCAGCAACACACCTAAAGCCAATAATAACCCAACAAAAAGCCGCAGTAAGAATAATTACTAAATCCCATCCCTGGCAACACACCCCCCTACTCTTCATAGATCTAAACTTACTCCCTGTTCAGAACATCCACACTTACTACTGTGCAATCTACATATACAGGACCTTAAATTCCAATATTAACCTTGACCTAAAATGCTTTCTTGATAGTTGTGACAGGACCCACAGGCATAACACCAGAAACAAACATCTCTACGACATTCCCCCGTGTCCGACTAAACCTTTACAAAAATTCAATGTATGTCAAAGGCCCTAATATCTGGAACACCCTACCTGAAAACTCTAGAACTGCAGACACATTCATCACCTTCAAAACTACCGTTAGAAACATCTTATCTCCCTGATACACCCCGTCAACTAACTAGTACATAAAAACCACCTGGTGGTTCACACTTTTTTTTTCTTTTTTTTTTTTTTACACAGGGTTTGACAAGGTTAAGGATCCCTAGCTTTATTGACAAGCTATTTACAGGTTAAGGATTCCTAACTTTATTGGCAAGCTAAGAGCTTGCCACTCACTCACTCACCCATTTAACTATAAGCACAGAAATACGTATCTTAATCCTAAAATAATGATTCCTAACTAGTCATAAGTTTGCCTGTGATACTCCAATATAGAAACTATGTATTGTGCCAAAACAAAAGCATTCACATTGCTAAACTCACAAACTAGTATTTAGTCACTTAGCATTTAGTCAACTTACTCCATAATTTGTAATAATTTAGGGTTAAGAATTAATCTAAGTTTGCCCAAAATGCCTAGCCATGCTAGGTTTTCTAGTGGCCCCCTCTGTAATTAGTATCTTATTACATGTAAACCACACAATAACCAAAATCTGTAAACCCCGCAGTGCAATCCTTATAGAAAATAAACTTTGATTGATTGATTGACATGGTCTTAGGAACAGAACTCCATTGTTAACCCTTTCACTGTCGAGAACCCTGATCACAAACTTGCTCTGTGTCGAAAAATATTAAAAAAAAAATAATTTTTTCTTACCAAAATTTTAAGAATATTTTTCTGAGTGTTTTAAAAGAAAAAAAAAATTGCCATCAGTACTTACCGAGATATCTAGGCATGAAGTTGACAAAGTGAACCGTTTATGGCAACATCAGCGACTGCTGCTCACTTGGTAATATTATTTTTACTTTTATTCAATTTTTTTCTTTTATTTTCTAATATTTTACTTTTTCAAGCAACTTTTGTGGTCTGTGAGACCAATATAATGCATAATGTATATACATCCACTCTTTGTATGCAACACTAACTGTACAAACATTGTTATTATATTGTTTACAAAACTTGTTTACACAAACCCACACTGTGTTCCCCACCTACACTCTCTTCCCCACCACCCACGCTGCCTTCCCCACTACCCACGCTGCCTTCCCCACTACCCACACTGTCTTCCCCACCACCCATGCTGGAAATAAGTCACCTTGTCTGACATTTTTGGGTTATCCTGGGTTCTCTACCACATGCTGTAATATATGATAATCTACGTAACTGTATTCATGTATACCTGAATAAACTTACTTACACACCATCTTCCCAACCGCCCACACTGTCTTCCCCATGCACACCATCTTCCCCACCATCCATGCTGTCTTCCCCACCACCCATGTTGTCTTCCCTTTTCACTATCAGTATCTGGCATCCTGGGCATTGCTTTCAGTCACAAACTCCACAAAACTATGAAATTCATCTTCACTGACACTTCCATCTATGTTAGAACTATCACTTGGGAAGAGAAGTCCCAAATTCGCCACGGAGTGAGGTATTTCTTACCACTAAGCATGGTGAACAAGGACTACTGAAATGGCATTCCCATAATGCACCACTGGCTCCTCAGTTTTTTTTATGCTGTGCACACTAAACATGCAGACCCATTCTCTCACATGTAGGTCTACCAGCTTTCTCTCGCTAGAATTTTGGCATAATATTACAGCACCAACACTGGTTTGCAAGCTGTAATATTACGGCACCAACAGTGAAAGGGTTAAGTGAGAAGAGGCTATACTGCTCTATGTAACAAAGATGGCAGAGCCATAAAAAAATAAAATAAAAAGAGGGACAGACAATACTGCAACAGAGAAGTCAATTTACCTGATTGGGGTGGCCAGGGAATCCAAATCAGCTGCATGAATTCTCTCTGGATTAACACTGAGGACCCCAGAGACTTCACCTGAAGTAACAGAGGCACTGTATTCCGGGTTGGCACAAATAGAGCCAACTCGTGTACAGCCAGCATACTCAAAGGCAGGATCCTGGTCGTCACTGTCAGCCACCGTCACTGTCAGGGTGGTGGTGGCATTAAGGCGACTCTCTGCAGATGATGCTCGATCCTTGCAGGAGATGACAGGAAATGGGAAAGCACATTCAAAAAACATCCAGAGACATAGGCATATGAATTTTTATAAAGCACAATCAAAACACATCCAGAGACATGGATTCAGGCATGGCTGCAGAGTAGAGGAACCCTTAAATTCAGTCACAGATAAAGCACAGGCAAACAGGCAAGAGAACTTACCATGGCCATAATAGTAACATAGTATACTGATGATCTCTCATAGTCCAGAGAACGGTTGACAGTAACAAGTCCTTGGTGAGGGAGAGTGATACTGAAGTAGCCATAGCCATCACTCTCAGGGTTACTACTGCTTGGAATGATGCTATAGTCTACTTGTCCATTAACACCTGTAAATGCAAGAAAGATATACATTTCATTATTTTTATGGGGGTATTTTTCTTGTATAATACTGCAAAATATAGTTTTCCAAAAAACAATGTTTTAAAATTGTATTTATAAATCCTAACAACAACATTAAATGGTATGTAACATACAATCCTTTATTTAATAACCTAAAGTCTTGGCCACAATGGTAATAAAATTATGGGCTCAATAACTAATAAATATGTACCATGTAGACCTGTGTACCACCATTTGTTTCATTCTTATGTAAACCCTATCACAGGCACACTGCACCTGGGTATCATAGTAACTTATACTGTACATGCAATCATTATCTTGTAAACTATAGTAATGTATTGAAATAAACAATTCCATGAAATAATTTATTTTACAGGAAATTGTTAAGCTTTTTTGTTAATTACAAAATACAAACAATCGGATCTTCTTACTATATGAATTCAATTTAAGTTGCAATGAATGACTGTCGATGAATAAACAACAAGGTAGATGGGAGGCTTGAAGCACTGGACCTGTTAATCTCGGGACCATGGTTCAAGCCTCCTGTCCACCTTTCTGTTTATTCATATTATAATATGTATATATACATGTATATATATATTTTTAACAAGTCGGCCGTCTCCCACCGAGGCAGGGTGACCCAAAAAGAAAGAAAATCCCCAAAAAGAAAATGCTTTCATCATCATTCAACACTTTCACCACACTCACACATAATCACTGTTTTTGCAGAGGTGCTCAGAATACAACAGTTTAAATGCATATACGTATAAAGATACACAGCATATCCCTCCAAACTGCCAATATCCCAAACCCCTCCTTTAAAGTACAGGCATTGTACATCCCATTTCCAGGACTCAAGTCCGGCTATATAAAAATAACCGGTTTCCCTGAATCCCTTCACTAAATATTACCCTGCTTACACTCCAACAGCTCATCAGGTCCCAAATACCATTTGTCTCCATTCGCTCCTATCTAACACGCTCACGCATGCTTGCTGGAAGTCCAAGCCCCTTGCCCACAAAACCTCCTTTACCCCCTCCCTCCAACCTTTTCGAGGATGACCCCTACCCCGCCTTCCTTCCCCTACAGATTTATATGCTCTCCATGTCATTCTACTTTGATCCATTCTCTCTAAATGACCAAACCGTTAACCCCTCTTCAGCCCTCTGACTAATACTTTTATTAACTCCACACCTTCTCCCAATTTCCACACTCCGAATTTTCTGCATAATATTTACACCACACATTGTCCTTAGACAGGACATCTCCACTGCCTCCAACTGCCTCCTCATTGCAGCATTTACAACCCAAGCTTCACACCCATATAAAAGTGTTGGTACTACTATACTTTCATACATTCCCTTATTTGCCTCCATTGATAACGTTTTTTGTCTCAACGCACTACTCGCCTTTTTTTGTACCTCTGTATGTATGTTCAAATTATTAAATAAATAAATAAATAATTAAATAAATAAATTAACCTCATCCTTCATAAATCCATCTGCTGACATGTCAACTCCCAAATATCTGAAAACATTCAATTCTTCCATACTTCTCCTCCCCAATTTGATAACCAATTTTTCTTTATCTAAATCATTTGATACCCTCATCACCTTACTCTTTTCTATGTTCACTTTCAACTTTCTACCTTTACACACTCTCCCAAACTCGTCCACTAACCTTTGCAAATTTTCTTTAGAATCTTCCATAAGCACAGTATCATCAGCAAAAAGTAACTGTGTCAATTCCCATTTTGTATTTGATTCCCCATAATTTAATCCCACCCCTCTCCCGAACACCCTAGCATATACTTCTTTTACAACCCCATCTATAAATATATTAACCCATAAACGGTCCAAACGAATATATACATTTTTACCGCTAGTGCCCCAAACGTACGTATACGTTTTATGTGTCCTACATTTAACATTGCCACGATAAGCCTGAGTCACCTAGACATGTGAGAATGGGTGTGAGCACTCACTGTGCACCATATTAAAATAATTGAGGATGCCTGAGTACCATATGCTCTTTTTTCCTATTAAAAAACAACAATTTTTTTTCTCAAAAAAGTTGGGGCAGTACGGTAGTGAAAGTATATATACGTTTGGACCGTTTACGGATTAAACAACCATGGTGACATTACACATCCCTGTCTAAGACCTACTTTTACCGAGAAGTAGTCTCCCTCTCTTCTACACACCCTAACCTGAGCCTCACTATCCTCATAAAACCCTTTACAGCATTTAGTAACTCACCACCTATTCCATATACTTGCAACATCTGCCACATTGCTTCCCTATCCACTATCACATGCCTTTTCTAAATCCATAAATGCAATAAAAACTTCCCTACCTTTATCTAAATACTGTTCACATATATGCTTCAATGTAAACACTTGATCTACACATCCCCTGCCCACTCTAAAACCTTGTTCATCCGCAATCCTACATTCTGTCTTACCTCTAATTCTTTCAATAATAACCCTACTGTACACTTTTCCTGGTATACTCAGTAAACTTATTCCTCTATAATTTTTACAATCTCTTTTGTCCCCCTTCCCTTTATATAAAGGGACTATACATGCTCTCTGTCAATCCCTAGGTACCTTCCCCTCTTTCATACATTTATTAAACAAAAATACCAACCACTCCAGCACTATATCCTTCCCTGCTTTTAACATTTCTGTCATGATCCCGTCAGTTCCAGTTGCTTTACCCCCTTTCATTTTATGTAATGCCTCAAGCACCTCCCCCACACTCGCATCCTGCTGTTTTTCACTCCTAAAAGATATTATACCTCCCTGGCCAGTGCATGAAATTACCGCCTCCCTTTCTTCGTCGACATTTAAAAGTTCCTCAAAATATTCTCGCCATCTACCCAATACAGTACCTCCATCTCCCCACCTACTAACTCCCCTACTCTGTTTTTAACTGACAAATTCATTCATTCCATAGGCTTTCTTAACTTGTTTAACTCACTCCAATTTTTTTTCTTATTTTCATTAAAATTTCTTGACAGTGCCTCTCCCCTTTATCATCTGCTCTCCTTTTGCACTCTCTCACCACTCTCTTCACCTTTCTTTTACTCTCCATATGCTCTACTCTTCTTATAACACATCTGCTTTGTAAAAACCTCTCATAAGCAACCTTTTTCTCTTTTATCACACCCTTTACTTCATCATTCCACCAATCACTCCTCTTTCCTCTTGCACCCACCCTTCTATAACCACAAACTTCTGCCCCACATTCTAATACTGCATTTTTAAAATTATTCCAACCCTCTTCAACCCCCCCTCCCCCACTACTCATACTTGCACTAGCCCACCTTTCTGCCAATAGTTGCTTATATCTCATCCAAACTTCCTCCTCCTCTTACTTGTTGTTGTCATTTTCCTCTTATCCCATCTACCTCTTACTATAACTGTAGCTACAACTAAATAATGATCCGATATATCAGTTGCCCCTCTATAAACGTGTACATCCTGGAGCCTACCCATCAACCTTTTATCCACCAATACATAATCTAATAAACTTTCATTACGTGCTATATTATACCTTGTATATTTATTTATCCTCTTTTTCATAAAAATATGTATTACTTATTACCAAAACTCTTTCTACACATAGCTCAATTAAAGGCTCCCCATTTTCATTGACTTTTGCAACATGCATGGCTTACGGAGGAAAGATTCTTATTCCACTTTCCCATGGATATAAAAGGAAAAGTAATAATAACAAGAACTATTAAGATAAAATCAAAGAAAACTCAGATGAGTGTGTATAAATAAACATGTACATGTATGTGTAGTGTGACCCAAGTGTAAGTAGAAGTAGCAAGACGTACCTGTAATCTTGCATATTTATGAGACAGACAAGAGACAACAGCAATCCTACCATCATGTAAAACAATTACAGGATTTTGTTTTACACTCACTTGGCAGGATGGTAGTACCTCCCTGGGTGGTTGCTGTCTACCAACCTACTACCACATACATTGTGCGGAGTTTTTGACCCAAGTGTGAAAGTACGTGTCGTTGGGGATTTGAATGCTAAAGTGGGTAAAAATGTTGTGGAGGGAGTAGAAGGTAAATTTGGGATGCCAGGGGTAAATGAAAATGGAGAGCCTTTAATTGAGCTATGTGGAGAAAGAGGTTTGGTAATAAGTAACACATATTTTATGAAAAAGAGGATAAATAAATATACAAGGTATGATATAGCATGTAATGAAAGTAGTTTGTTAGATTATATATTGGTGGATAAAAGGTTGATGGGTAGGCTTCAGGATGTGCATGTTTATAGAGGGGCAACTGATAAATCGGATCATTATTTAGTTGTAGCTACAGTTAGAGTACAAGGTAGATGGGACAAAAGGAAAATGGCAACAACAAGAGAGAGGTGAAAGTGTATAAACTAAGGGAGGAAGAAGTTCGGGTGAGATATAAGCAACTATTGGCAGAAAGGTGGGCTAGTGCAAGTATGAGTAGTGGGGGAGGGGGGGTTGAAGAGGGTTGGAATAGTTTTAAAAATGCAGTATTAGAATGTGGGGCAGAAGTTTGTGGCTATAGGAGGGTGAGTGCAGGAGGAAAGAGGAGTGATTGGTGGAATGATGAAGTAAAGGGTGTGATAAAAGAGAAAAAGGTAGCTTATGGGAGGTTTTCATAAAGCAGAAGTGTTATAAGAAGAGCAGAGTATATGGAGAGTAAAAGAAAGGTGAAGAGAGTGGTGAGAGTGTGTAAAAGGAGAGCAGATGATAGAGTGGGAGAGGCACTGTCAAGAAATTTTGAAGAAAATAAGAAAAAATTTTGGAGTTAAACAAGTTAAGAAAGCCTAGGGAACGAATGGATTTGTCACTTTAAAACAGAGTAGGGGAGTTAGTAGATGGGGAGATGGAGGTATTGGGTAGATGGTGGAAATATTTTGAGGAACTTTTAAATGTTGACGAAGAAAGGGAGGCGGTAATTTCATGCACTGGCCAGGGAGGTATGCCATCTTTTAGGAGTGAAGAAAAGCAGGATGTGAGTGTGAGGGAGGTGAGTGAGGCATTACGCAGAATGAAAGGGGGTAAAGCAGCTGGAACTGACGGGATCATGACAGAAATGTTAAAAGCAGGGGGGGATATAATGTTGGAGTGGTTGGTATTTTTGTTTAATAAATGTATGAAAGAAGGGAAGGTACCTAGGGACTGGCAGAGAGCATGTATAATTCCTTTATATAAAGGGAAGGGGGACAAAAGAGATTGTAAAAATTATAGAGGAATTAAGTTTACTAAGTATACCAGGAAAAGTGTATGGTAGGGTTATTAATGAAAGAATTAGAGGCAAGGCAGAATGTAGGATTGTGAATGAGCAAGGAGGTTTTAGAGTGGGTAGGAGATGTGTAGATCAAGTGTTTACATTGAAGTATATATGTGAACAGTATTTAGATAAAGGTAGGGAAGTTTTCATTGCATTTATGGATTTAGAAAAGGCATATGATACAGTGGATAGGGGAGCAATGTGGCAGATGTTAACCATAGAACTGATGAAGGATAAAGGGTGAGTGGTGCATTGAGGTATATGTGTAGACAAAAAACATTATCTATGGAGGCAAAGAAGGGAATGTATAAAAGTATAGTGGTACCAACACTCTTACATGAGTGTGAAGCTTGGGTTGTAAATGCTGCAGTGAGGAGGCGGTTGGAGGCAGTGGAGATGTCCTGTCTAAGGGCAATGTGTGGTGTAAATATTATGCAGAAAATTTGTAGTGTGGATATTAGAAGGTGTGGAGTCAATAAAAGTATTAGTCAGAGGGTTGAAGAGGGGTTGTTGAGATGGTTTGGTCATTTAGAGAGAATGGACCACAGTAGAATGACATGGACAGCGTATAAATCTGTAGGGGAAGGAAGGCGGGGTAGGGGTCGTCCTCAAAAAGGTAGGAGGGAGGGGGTAAAGGAGGTTTTGTGGGCGAGGGGCTTGGACTTCCAGTAAGCATGCATGAGCGTGTTAGGAGTGAATGGAGATAAATGGTATTTGGGACCTGACGAGCTGTTGGAGTGTGAGCAGGGTAATATTTAGTGAAGAGATTCAGGGAAACCGGTTATTTTTATATAGCTGGACTCGAGTACTGAAAATGGAAGTACAATGCCTGCGCTTTAAGGGAGGGTTTGGGATATTGGCAGTTTGGAGGGATATGTTGTGTATCTTTATACGTGTATGCTTCTAAACTTTCGTGTTCTGGGCACCTCTGCAAAAACAGTGATTATGTATGAGTGAGGTGAAAGTGTTGAATGATGAAAATATTTTCTTTTTGGGGATTTCTTTCTTTCTTTTTGGGGCACCCTGCCTCGGTGGGAGACAGCCAACTTTAAAAAAAAAAGAACTTATGTGTAGCTGTTCCTAAATAAATTTACTAAAGGTGTTTCAAAATTGCCTTCCCCTAACAACCCTATTATTTTCTGCATAATCTAACATGAACAACCTTAGCCTATGTAAATGATGGCACTAAAGAAGTGTTACATTACCAGCATCTAAGTCTTCAGCATGTACCTTTCTGAAGATTGTTGAGCCCACTGGTGTCAACTGTGCAAAAAGAAAGACAGTACACCATTACACACTGTAAAATACAAAAATTTATTATCCAGCTAAATTACTCAACATTAAGGTAACCCCAACTTAAACAGTATTTATCTGTACATTCATAACTTGACTGTAATTTTTGATGATTAGTACAGTGTTACATCCAATTCGCTTATATTCATTGTAACTCCTAAATTTATATTTACAACCCCTTAAGAGATTATATAAAAACACTCAATTAGTCATTGCCTTATTAATCTTCAGTTAGTCTTAAGTTTGCCCAAAATGCACGCACACTTATCATGATCAAATAAAGAATCCAATCTAATCTGCTCTATCATTCATGAGGAAGAGCTAAACTCACAGGGGGATACACAGTGCCTAAGAAAAAAGAAAGCATTCAGGTCTGATTCAAGGAACTACTGCACTGGTCCAATTATTCAGCTCATTATTATCATAATCGAAAATTAAATTTTTCAAATCAAAATCCCCTCAGCAGCATCAAGGAGTCTCCCTTGATGGGGTTTGATGAATGGTGTTAGACGAGTGTGGAATCGAAGTAAAGTTCACGAGTATGCTACCAATAGATTCCTCAAAGTCAATTAATATTATTATTATAATCAAAACTAAGTGCTAAACCCATCAGGGTCATACAGTGGTGCTCAAAGTCAAGTGGGAGTCAGGGTTTTTTGAGGAATGTTGGCAGTGTCTGCCATCAGTGGAAGTCCCATCTCCTTTAAACAAGGACCTGATACTCACAGGATTTTTTTCAATCAAGAGAGGTTCCTTGATGCTGGTGAGAGGCTCTTGATCTATGGAATTGGATCTCTGCTCCAATTCCCTGAATTAAACCTGAATGCCTTCCATATTCCCCCCACAGGCGCTGTATAATCCCTACAGGTTTAGCGTTCCCCCAGTGTGTGTGTGAGTGTATAATATATATACGAGTGTATATAATATTATATATATATATATATATATATATATATATATATATATATATATATATATATATATATATATATATATATATATATATATATATATATATATATTATGGTAATAGGTTGGTAGACAGCAACCACCCAGGGAGGTACTACCATCCTGCCAAGTGAGTGTAAAACAAAAGCCTGTAATTGTTTTACATGATGGAAGGATTGCTGGTGTCCTTTTTTCTGTCTCATGAACATGCAAGATTTCAGGTACATCTTGCTACTTCTACTTACACTTAGGTCACATTACACATACATGTACAAGCATATATATACATACCCCTCTGGGTTTTCTTCCTAGTTCTTGTTCTTGTTTATTTCCTCTTATCTCCAAGGGGAGGTGGAACAGAATTCTTCCTCTATACGCCATGCGTGTTGAAAAAGGCAAGGGGCTAGTAACTAGTAAGGGGCTAGTAACCCCTTCTCTTGTGTATATTATTAAATGCAAAAGAGAAACTTTTGTTCTTCCTTTTGGGCCACCCCGCCTCGGTGGGATACGGCCGGTGTGTTGAAAGAAGAAATATATTATATATTAATATATATATATAAAATATATATATATATATATATATATATATATATATATATATATATATATATATTTATATATATATATATATACTGAGGTGTGTATTTCTATATATGCTGAAGAGTGTATCTCAGTGTATCTGTGTATATACACTGAGAAGTATACATCTTCCAGTATATACACAGAGGTCTCTTCCGGTGTATATGCAGTAAAGTGACTGAGTTGAAACTTGAATGACTCAGTGTAGGGGCAAACTGCAACTTTACTGACCCACCCAGGAGCTGTGAATCGACCCCAGCAACCACATGTAGGTCAATACATACATTAAATAGAACTTAAATCTACTATTATTATTACCGTCATTATTATTAGTAGTAGCAGTAGTAGTTACAGTCATTATCATTATTATTATTATTAGCAGTAGTAGTAATTATCATTATTATTATTATTGTATTATTGTCCTAATCATTATTATTGTAATTATTATTATAGTATTACATTAAAAGCAAAGTGCTAAACCTGTATGTGTGTAAGACATCCCCCCCCGTTCTTACCTCAGGTACAGTAACGGCATAAGGCAGCCCAGAGAAGACAGGAGCATTATCATTGATGTCTGTGATACGCACTATGATAGGTATACTGCGCACCTGAGTGCTATTCCTGATGGCACACGATACCTGGAAGCAACAGTCACTGGTTAGTCAAAGAACTTTCCTCATGTTCATGGAGAAGGGCTAAGCCCATAAGGGTTTGTACTTGGAAGGAAACAGATGACATTTTGCATAGCCCCTGTGCCAAAGGTCATGGCAGCCAGGAAGATGACAGGGTGAGTAATGAGAACTTTCAAAAGAAAGGAAATACGTAATGCCAATGGTGATACCTTTCAAATCGTTAGTGCTCCCTCATTTGGAATACTGTTCAGTGTTGACGGCCCCATTCAAATCTGGGGAAATATCAGAACTGGAACAAATACATAGATGTACATTAATGGTATACAATATCGACAAATGAAAATAAGACACATGTGCAACATCTGGGTATCTTTATTGTAGTTTTGCCAACCAGTGGCTTTATCAATACAAATTCAAGGATACTTGGAAGCCAGTAGAACTTTATACAAAAATAGGTAATCAGTCCCTCAGCCTAAGTGTTGGTGATGAGCACCATCCTAACTACTATATTTCTCTACTCTTTCTGCAACATTGCAAGCTCCTGACGATGTGTTGATTGCAACTCAAAAGGCCTACAGCTATCCTTCAACTCCTACTGTGGTTATTTTGTATATGTTACTATGTATGACTGTACGCACTTGTATTTGTGTACATTGTACTTGTGTGTACTTGTACCTGAACAAACTTCTTTCTTCTTTGTTGAGTTTATAAGGGCCACTGACAGCATAAGCCGTAATGAACAAACTTACTCTCTAGCAACTTGCTGCTGGTGTTGGTGGGGTTGTTAAGGGTCACCACAGCTTGTTGGGGGTTTGTTAAGGGTCACTACAGCTTACTTGGTGAAGTTATTAAGGGCCATCACAGCTCACTTGGTGGGGTTGTTAAGGGCCACCACAACTTACTTGATGCTAAGGTTAAGGACCACCACAGCTTACGTGTTGGTGGGAATATCAAAATGGTATACAATACCGACAGGTTGGTAAGACACATAGGCAACAGTTAGGCAACTTTATTCTGAAAAGTTTCAGAAACGTTTTGGAATAAAGTTGCCTAACTGTTGCCTATGTGTCTTACCTACCAACCTGTCGGTATTGTATACCATTTTGATATTCACACTGTCAGACACAGCAACACAATGGCATCTTGGTACAGAAAACACCTTGAACAACTTTTTCAAATGAGAATTGTTTGATCTGAGAGGGACGTGACCTCTCAGTGGCTCCATTCTCACTACTACTACTCTGCACCTCTCCTTCCGACAGTATTTAAGTCTCCGCACTGTCCCTTGATCTTCAGATAGTTCCAGGCTATGGAGCTGAACTTCTCCAGGCTGAGGGACTGACAACCTTAAATGTACGACTTCAAGGGTGATGGACTGATTACATCGTCTTCACATCGTTACTGTTCCTGCCTACTTTCTGTATTCGACTGAAAAAGTCTACTGTGTAGGCGAAACGTTTCGGAATAAAGTTACCTAACTGATGACTATGTGTCTTACCTACCAACGTGTTGGTGGGGTTGTTAGGGCCATCACAATTTTCCTGTTGAGTTTGTTAAGGGCCACCAAAGCTTATTTATTGTTCAGGGTCAACAAAGCTTACTCGTAAGTCTTGTGGTTGTTAAGGATCACAAAGCTATATTTCCCTGTCATATTCCGGGTGGGTTCCACAATAGTGATGGGGCGATAAATAAATTTACTTATACCGATAGCATCAAAATAAGCCTATACTCACTAATATCGATACCGATATTGATACTTTGGCACTCCTTTATTCAAGTGTTGCAATGTGTTAGTTTGAGGTGGAGTTTTACCACTCACCATGCGTTTAAACCCCACCCATTCCCTTTTTTTCGATAGGGTGACGGGGATATCGTCAAGCATTCTACTTTTGTGTGTTATCGTCATAAGAAAAAATAATAATAACAATCTTTATTTCTACAAGTAATTGTACTAGGTATACAGGCCACAGCTGACATCAATGACATATTACTATATAGAAAGTCACTTGTTATGCAGAGCATTTCCTGCAAATTAGGTCAATTCTGTCCAACAGGATGTGACCCACACCAGTCCACTAACACCCAGGTACCTATTTTACTGCTATATGAACAGTGATAGTAGGTGTGTTAAGGAAACATGTCCTAATGTTTCCACCTGTACCGGGGATCGAGCAACGTACTTCAGTGTGTGAGCTGAGTGAGCTAGCTATCTGGGTATTGCATACTGCCCGTGCCCATATGCATGCCACACTGACAAGAATAATAACGCAACTTGTGCAACATTTCGCCCAGCAAGAGCTTTATTTTTGCTTGTATTGTTGCTTCGTCTTCCTTATAGTGTTGGGCGTGTCCTCTATGTCCGTGTATGATATGGGCGTGTCCTATACGCCCGTTTTCATATGGACATGTCCTTGACATTTACCAGTTAAACTGGTAGCGAGCCACCTCGCTAGTAATCCGATTTGATCCAAAGAAGAAGAGGCTCGATCTAATTCCCAGGATCAAGAGCGGCCCAGTAGCATCAAAATACTGCCAGAGGAAGATCTCTCTAATTCTCATAACACTTATTGCAACTTCAAATTTGTGAAGAAATAAGCACATGCAACACTTGCTGGGTATGGTAAGACAGGTGTGGATAAATTAGACATGTGCAACAGCTGGGTATCTTTATTTATGAAACGTTTCGCCTACACGGTAGGCTTCTTAAGTCAAATACAAAGAGAGCAGTAAAAGTGAAATAAAGATGATATAATCAATCCATCAACTTTGGAGAAAAAGAATTTGAGGTGGTCAGTCCCTCAGCCTGGAGGCTTCAGGGGCTGACTGACCAGTCCCTCAGCCTCCAGGCTGAGGGACTGGTCATTGATAACGAAAGAAATCATGAAAGCGATTGAAAGTTCACTATTTTACTGTGGTTATTTTTTCATATTGTGATACCACACGTTTACTGTGATCTTATTGCATATTACACTGTATATGACGTTTCTCTCTGACCTGGACAGTAGTCCAGGAGGAAGCGAAGAGTCGCCACAAGGTTCCTCTTCCGAGTGCGGGTTTTGAGTGAATTATTCCGGCCAAAGTACTGTGACTTTATATTCTTTAGTGTATTATAAAGATTTAACCCAGGATAACGCAGTCACAACAATGTGACTTATAAACACTGGGGTATATACCTTACCTTTGAAGAATTTCGATAGTATATCTACTCTCTGAGCCCGGCCATGGGCCAGGCTCGTCTGGTGCTCGCCTGGTCAACCAGGCTGTTGCTGCTGGAGGCCCGCTGCCCCACATATCCATCACAGCCTGGTTGATCTGGCACCTGGTGAAGATACTTGTCTAGTTTCCTCTGGAAGGCTTCAACACTTGTTCCAGCAGTGTTTCTGATATCCTCTGCTAACATGTTGAAAAGTCTGGGACCCCGAATGTTGATACAGTGTTCCCTTATTGTCCCCACCGCACCCCTGCTCCTCACTGGGTTTATTTTGCACTTCCTCCCATATCTCTCACTCCAGTATGTTGTTATGGCAGTGTGCAGATTTGGGACCAAGCCCTCGAGTACCTTCCAGATATATATTATCATGTACCTCTCTCTCCTCCGCTCCAGTGAGTACATGTTCAAGACTTGCAGGCGTTCCCAGTAGTTTAGGTGCTTTACTGGCTCAATGTGAGCCGTAAACGATCTTTGTATATGTTCCAGCTCCGATATTTCTCCTGCCCTGAACGGGGCCGTCAGCACTGAGCAATATTCTAAGTGAGGGAGCACTAGCGATTTGAAGAGTGTCACCATCGGCATTGTTTCCCTTGTTTTGAAAGTTCTCAATACCCACCCAGTGATCTTCCTGGCTGTCGTGATCTTTGTCTTGTTATGGTCATTAAAAGAAAGATCAGCTGACATAATTATTCCTAGGTCTTTTACATTTTCCTTACATTCTATTTGGCGACCCTCTTGAGTTTTGTATATAGTGTTCCTTTTGAGTTCTTCATTCTCTCCATACCTAAGCAACTGGAACTTATCACCATTGAACGTCATGTTGTTGTCCACTGCCCACTGGAAAACCCTGTTTATGTCTTCCTGTACCTTTTCAGTGTCCTCTACCGTACTGACTTTCATGCTTATTTTAGTGTCATCTGCAAATGATGATACAAAAGTGTGCCGGGTGTTTTTGTCTATGTCTGCTACGAGGATGAGGAACAGCAGAGGTGCCAGGACAGTGCCTTGGGGCACTGAGCTTTTGACCTCGCTGATGCTGGATCTTGCCCTGTTCACTACTACTTTTTGTGTTCTGTGTGTTAGGAAACCGAAAATCCATCTGCCTACCTTCCTCGTAATGACCATGGCCTTCATTTTGTGCGCTATCTATGATCGCATTTGTCAAACGCCTTTGCAAAATCTGTGTAAATCACATCTGCGTTTTGGTCGTCTTCCAGTGCCTCCGTAATTCTGTCATAATGGTTCAGCAGCTGTGACAGATATGATCGTCCTGCTCTAAAACTATGCTGATTCGGGTTATGTTGGTTGTGCTGGTCCATGAAATTTGTAGCTGCCGTCTCATCACTCTTTCGAAGATTTTTATGATGTGAGAGGTTAGGGCTACTGGTCTGTAATTTTTAGCTAGTGCTCTACTACCTCCCTTATACAAAGGAGCTATATCTGCACTCTGTAAGGCCTCTGGTATTTCACCTAGATCTAAGCTCTTTCTCCAAAGAATACTGAGAACTCGTGCTAGTGGTACTTTGTACTTCTTTATAAACACAGCATTCCATGAATCTGGTCCAGGTGCTGAGTGAGTGGGCATGTTATCCATTTCTTTTTCGAAATCTATGGGATTTGTACTAATGTCAGTTAGTTGGTCAGCGCGGCCTTCTTCTGGAGTGAAAAATATTTCTGCATTTTCTACCTTGCTGTCATTTAGTGGGTTGCTGAACACCGACTCATACTGTTCTTTTAGGATTTCATTCATTTCCTGTTCGTCGTCAGTATATGAGTCTCCTCTCAGTAGTGGTCC